TCTGCTATGGTGACCCCATGCCTCAAACAAATGAAACCATGATGCAGAAAGGCCATGCCTTTTACCCCATGCCAATGAATTTCAAGAATTCACCCAACGCCTCTGCTATGGTGACCCAGATTCCCAGCTTGTGCTATGGCCTTACCTTTGCCATTACACCACCAAGAAGTCTTCCTGGCGCATTTCCGTACCCATATTTTGGTCTCTTCAATGAAACCAACTCCTATGGCAATGCTTCCAACCATGTGGTGGCAGTGGAGTTCGATACCCTTCAGAATCGTCAATCGGAAATGGAGAGAACTAATCGGAGAAGAAAGGGGTAGTAAGTAAAATTACTAAAATACCCTCATAAATTGACCTATTAAATTTTTCCGGTGAGATTTGGCCGGCAATTTGGCCGGCGTGACCAAAATTGATAGAAATTGCATAGTCAAAGTACTAAATTAACATTTTTTAAAGTTAAGTGTTGCAATTAACACAACCCCAATAGTCAGTGGACCAAAATTGAAATTTTCTCTTTTTATTACTAAAGACTTGACTATTTTTGAAGGTCAATCTTGCGATTGTATTAATGAATCAAAGCCGAAATAGCGTCAGGTGGGATAGCATCCCAGTACATAGCTTGATTCTGTGTAAATGCTAATGTAGCTAAAGTATGCGCATGTAAATTAACCTGTCTAGAGATGTAATCCAAAGTAATACGATTAAATAAAGACATAAACGTTCTGCACTGGTCAATTGTGACCCTAACGTACGAATGGATCGACGTGTGATGGTGTCATATAATCGTAGCCAACTCCATGCAATCCGTGAGTAAACTTACTGATGTGTTGTTTCGTTCAAGTAGCCAGGATAGTGCTTCCTTGTAGGCCTGGGCCTCCGCCATAAGTGGTGAAAAACAAATCGGTAATTTGCCATTCCTTGCTGCCACAAAAGAGCCATCTGGCGCTATTATTATCATGCCATATGTAGCCTCGCCCGTATCGTGCCGGAAACCCGCGTTTACATAACACCGTAGACCGCCCTCCCCTGTATCGTTTAAGTGCTCCGATGCCGCTGCCGGTTCGGTTCGGCGGACCTGGGCAGCGCCGTATGCCTGTAGTGCTACGGTGGCTGCTCTGGCTAACTGGGCAGGCCGCATCATTGATCCCTTCCAGACAGCTGAATTCCGGGTTCTCCAAATATAATATAATATTGCTACCATTAACCGGGTCTGCTCTTCCGTTAAGACCGCCATAGCCCCTTTTAGCCATGTTGTAAAAGAGTCTGCAATAATATTAGTAATAGGCAATTGTGTTATATTCCAAACAAGTCTAGAATATTCACAGAGTACTAAAGCATGTAACACATCTTCATGATCTAAACCACACATTGGGCATGTTGGGTCCACCTCCACCCTTTTAAATATCAAGTTAAGGGTTGTTGGCAAAATGTCACATATGGCTCTCCACAAGAAAGTTTTCCACTTTGGGGGTACTTTTATTTTCCACATTGCAACCCATTTATCAAAATTTGCTGGATTATTCTCATAATCACCCACAATATGCCTATAAGCATTCTTTACTGTATATGTCCCCTTGGGGTCACTCATCCAATACCATGAGTCCTCATACTCAGGACTCACAGGGATCATATTTATTCGCTCCACATCTTCAGGAATAAATAAGTCAGACAAAATATGTGGATCCCAGGTATGAGTCTGTAAATCAATTAATCCTGCAACTCGTGCCTCTCTCAATTGCTGTGGCATTTCTGTTTGAATCAATGGGCTAGGATTATCTTGTAACCACGGATGTCCCTATATTAAAGTTGTCTGCCCATTCCCAATTCTCCTTCGCACCCTGAGACTACCATTGCATGAGCTGTCATTATACTTCTCCAACAGTAACTTGGGCAATTACCAATAGTTGCATCTGTAAAACTGGTTGTGGGATAATACCTTGCCTTATAAATTTTAGCCACAAGTGATCCTGGGTCCGTTAAAAAACGCCATGCCTGTTTACCCAGCATAGCTAGATTAAAAGCCCTTAGTTCTTTAAAACTCATACCACCATACTTCTTTGGTATGCACAACCTGTCCCATAGGATTATCTCGTAACCACGGATGTCCCTATATTAAAGTTGCCTGCCCATTCCCAATTCTCCTTCGCACCCCTGAGACTACCATTGCATGAGCTGCCATTATACTTCTCCAACAGTAACTTGGGCAATTACCAATAGTTGCATCTGTAAAACTGGTTGTGGGATAATACCTTGCCTTATAAATTTTAGCCACAAGTGATCCTGGGTCCGTTAAAAAACGCCATGCCTGTTTACCCAGCATAGCTAGATTAAAAGCCCTTAGTTCTTTAAAACCCATACCATCATACTTCTTTGGTATGCACAACTTGTCCCATGCCTTCCAATGTATTCCCCTTTCTCTTCCATTCCCCCACCAATATTTATTCATAGTTCGCTCAATTGACTGACAAACTGCCTCAAGTAACATAAAAACACTCATCGAATAGGTAGGCATAGATTGCGCTACACTTTTCAATAACACTTCCTTACCAGCCTGAGAAAGTAACTTTTTACTCCACGAACCAATTCGTTGCCTGATCTTTTCCTCCACATACGAAAAAACAGCTCTCTTATTTCTCCCTACAAAGGAAGGTAGGCCCAAATATTTTCCAAAATTGGGTGCTTGCACCACCCCCAAACAATCCGCTATCCGCACCCTGTCAGCCTCCTGGGTATTTCTGCTAAAACATATATTAGATTTATTATAATTTACCACCTGGCCTGACAATTTCTCATACCTTGCAAGGCATTGCCTTATAACTCCCGCCTCCTGGATATTTGCTTTAAAGAATAGGAGACTATCATCCGCAAAAAATAGGTGCGATACAGGTGGCGCCCCCCTTGCAACTCTGCACCCATGTATTGAGCCTGCCAACTGTTCATACTGTAATATCATCGAGAGAGCCTCTGCACAAATAATAAATAAATACGGAGAGAGAGGGTCTCCCTGCCTGAGTCCCCTGGTTGGTTTTACGTGCCCCTGCTATACCATTAACCATTACAGTATAATTAACAGTCGTTACACACAGCATAATGAGCTTTATCCACTTCTCACTAAAACCCATAACTGTCAGCATCCTTTCAAGAAAGTTCCACTCCATTCTGTCATAGGCTTTTGACATATCTAACTTCAAAGCACTCCACCCCACTCTACCACATTGTTTTCTATTCAGATAATGCCCCACCTCTGTTGCTACTAGAATGTTGTCAGTGACTAGCCTTCCCGGGATAAATGCACTCTGGGATTCCGATATTAATCCTCCCATTAGTGTTTTCATCCTATTTGCTATCATCTTGGCCATAACTCTGTAAATGACATTGCTCAACGCAATCGGCCTTAAATTGGCAACTGTCTTAGGCATCTCCTTCTTCGGTATCAAAATAATGTTAGTATCATTCAATCCCTCGGGGAATACACAGGAACTCAAAGCATTCGTTATAAAGCCAGATACATCTCTTCCCACTATCTCCCAAAACTGTTGGTAAAAACCCGGGTTTAACCCATCCGGACCCGGTGCCTTATCCGGATACATTGAAAAGAGAGCATCTTTAACCTCATTAGTTTCAAAAGGGTGGTCAAGCATCACATTCTGTTCTAACGTTACTCGTGGGGCTAGGACCCCAAAAAGTGGATCATCACAACTCAATCCACTAGAGGCAAAAATGTTGTCAAAGTAATTTTGTATAGCAGCATGCATATCATCCCCCTCCACCCAGTTACCAGCATTACATTTAATACTAGAAATAAAATTCTTTTTCCTACGTGCAGAGGCATACCTGTGATAAAATTTTGTATTCGCATCAGCCCCGCTTAGCCAGTGCTGCTTAGCTCGCTGCCTCCAGAACACATCGTCCTGTACCTCGATTCGTTTCAGGGAATTCTCAATCTGTTGGTACTCAGCTAGCGCTACCAAATCTCGCCTATTTCGTATGGCATCCTGCCTCTGCTGTAGCTGGTTAATTCGTTTCCCGAATTTATAAAACTGGTCTCCCCCCCACCGCATTAATTTTTCTCCACACAACTGCTGGCAATGCAACAATCCCTCCGTCTTCCCCTCCTGCCAGGCCGTTTCTACTACTTCTTTGCACCCCTCATCTAATAGCCAAGTCATTTCAAACCTGAATCTCCGCGGCCCCCTTCCCCTTGGCATGCAAATCGCATTAATACTGAGGAAAAGGATCGAGTGATCCGAGGCCCGAGTTCGAATATTCTCCAACCATGCATTCTCATTGAGCAGACCCCAATCATTCGTTATCAAAGCCTTGTCCAACCTTTCCTCTATCCAATTCGGCGTCCCCTTCCCCTTCTGCCACGTAAATTGGTGGCCTCTCATTGGCATTTGCATCAAACCACAGTCATCCACAGCATCTCCGAAACCCCGTAACAGACTATTGGGATACGGATTTCCCCCCTTCTTCTCGTGCTGATATAGCAGATTATTAAAGTCTCCTATCACCACCCAGGGCAATAAGGATCTAGTCTTCAGAGTACCAAGCAAATCCCATGTCTCCTCCCGCCTACCACGCTCGGGGATACCATAGATACATGTCATGCGCCATAACTTATTAAACAAGCTTACTTCCACATCAATATGACTCTGCGAGTAGCTTAAAAGCCTCACCATATTATTCTTCTTCCATAAAAGCATCATCCCTCCACTCAATCCATCGTTATCAACATAAAACAAACCTTCATACCCAAGCGTAACCCGGATCCGTTCTGCATGTATCCGTGGTACCTTGGTCTCCATCAAGTACACAAAATCCGGCTTCTTACTGGACGCTAGGCCCACAATCTGTCGAACTGTGCGTGGATTGCCCAAGCCACGACAGTTCCAGCTCAAAGTACTCATGATGATGGGCGGGGCTGAACACCAGCTCCTGCCATGGACAAGTTTTTTGAACCATCCGCAATTGTTACCTCATCGTTTCCACTATCTTCACCCCCCCTCCGTCCCATGCCTACGACGCTTTGCCGTAGCCACCACCACCTCATCCTCAGACATACTCGTGGGTGTGACACCCCCACTTCCCTGCCCCCCATCTACCACACGTAGTTTGACTCCCAGTGGTCGTGGTTTCCCGCCAACCGGAACAAGCCAGCTATCCCCAACCGCTCTAGGAGCGCTCTGGGATCCACCAGCTCGCATATCCGGGCCGTACAGGTACCTTTCCACCGGAATTCCAGCCTCCCTAGCGTGTATACAGAAAGTATGCAAGTGACCCATACAACCACAAAAATAGCAAAACTTATGCAGTCGTTCATATTTAAAATTTACCCATGCTGTAGTCCCATCTCTCTTCATCAACCTCATCCTTCTTCTAAGTGGTCTATCAACCGAGATTGACACCCGAATACGGTGAAACGTTAGCCATGGCGCCCCTTCAAATCGGTCATCATGTTTAACAAAAGAGCCCAAAAAATTCCCTGCATGTTCCAGAATTGCATGTGACGTGTATCCCTTTGGCATATCATGCAACTGTACCCACATGTCAATCATATCCAGCTCTACATCCACAGGATTTACCCCATCCAACACCTCTCGACACACAAGAGCATTATTCTCAAAAGCCCAGGGTCCCCCATTCAGCACGTATTCCATATCCGTCTTATGGAAAAAAACAAATAAGAACAAACCCCTTCAGGGGCGGAGGGAACATGGGGGCAGTGGGGGCAGCTACCCCCACTGACCAAAATTACTCAGCCCCAAAACGACGTCGTTTTGGGGCTGATATATATATATATATATATAATTTTTTTTTATTATTTTTCATTTGTTATCTGCGAAGACCAGAAGACCGAAGACGTTTCTCTCCTTCCTCTGCGGCTCTGCGAACACCGAAGACTCTTCTCTCCTCTGCGATTCGCGAACACCGACAAAGGCACCGCCTCCATAGTCCGAACACTCTTCTCTCGGTCTCTCTTCTGCCGGCTGCCGGCTACCGCTTGCCGGTCCACCATCTCCGACCGCTTCACGATTTGCTAAGGTTTGGTCAATTCTTTAATTGGTTTTCTAATTTTTACTTTTCTTGATTCTTCGACCTTGACACAACATCAATTTCTCACAATCTCCCCCCTTGAAGCTTGAACTATAAATATTAATTTCAAAAATTGATTCAATTGTTTGCCTAATTGCCCTAATTTTTTGTTTGCCCTAATTCTGATTTCCCTAAAATTGATTCAATTTTGTGAATCTTTGATGTCTACAGTCTTCTTATCTAATGTTTGGTGAATTGCCAAATTGGTGGAAGTGTGGAACTTGGAAGGAGGAAGCTACTGCAGTCTGGAGAGTGGAGATAGCCCGTAGCCAGTAAGCCAGGTATTCAATTTATAATCTATTAATTACTAATTTACTATTTATTAAGTGTGGATTATCCTAGTTTGTTTTATTGCTTATGTTAATTACTTAAGTGTGGATTTACTATTTATTAAGTGTGGATTATCCTAATTTACTATTGCTTAAGTGTGGATTTAATTACTCTGTTAATTACTAGTTTGCTTTATTGCTTATGTTATTAAAATTCAAAGCATTGCTGTCATGGAAACTTCTTATGTTAATTTATTGTGGGGATGTGCTAATCTATATGTTAATTTATTGTGGAGATGTGCTAATCTGTTAATTACTAGTTTGTTTATGTTATTAAGATTCAAAGCCTTGATGACTTATGTTAATTTACTGTCATGGATTATCCTAGTTAATTTACTTATGTTAATTTAATTACTTAATTATGTTGGTTCAGTTATGGAAAAATTCTTGAAAAGAAAATCAACTTTTGAGGATTCATCTAGTCACGGTAGTCACGAATTGTCAAGTATAAGGCTGCGTATTGAAGTTAATATAGATGAACTTGAAGTTGATCCGGCTAAAAGGAAAAGCATTTATGAATATCATATCAATGATAGGGATATTGTGCGAAGAAGATATCTACAAATGGGTCCATGTCAACCAAAAAATCATGTTTTTCCTACTAGAGTGATTACGGGTGTCAATAGGAGGTTTAATCCTAAATGGTTTAAAGATCATAGTAATTGGTTGGAGTATAGTGTATCAGAAGATGCAGCATATTGTTTATGTTGTTATCTATTCAAAGATGGAAGCAGCGGACAACAAGCAGGAGGAGAGTCATTTGTTACAGAAGGATTCAACAATTAGAAAAAAGGGCCGGAAAGGTTGCGTGCACATGTTGGTAATCATAATAGTGTTCACGCAAGGAACATACAAGCTTGTCGAGACTTAATGACTCAAGAGCAACACATACAAGTTTGTGTATCAAAACAGTCGGAGCAATCGAAACAAGACTATCGTGTTCGATTGACTTCATCAGTTGAAATCCTATTGTATCTTTTAAGGCAAGGACTTGCTTTTCGTGGACATGATGAAAGCTATGACTCACTTAATCGAGGAAACTTTCTTGAGGGCTTAAAGTTACTGGCTAATAATAATGAAAATATTGCCAAAGTTGTGTTGCAAAATGCACCTGAAAATCACCAAATGATTGCCCCTTGCATTCAAAAAGATATAGCTAATGCAATTGCAAGTGAGGTAACCCAAAAAATAATCAATGATCTTGGTGAAGAATTATTTGGAATAATAGTTGATGAGTCGAGAGATATATCAGTTAAGGAGCAAATGATTGTGTTTATTAGATATGTGGATTCAAGTGGGCATATTGTTGAGCGTCTTCTTGGCATTACTCATGTTTGTGACACTACTTCTATGTCTCTTAAAGTAGCCATTGAAGATCTTCTAACAAGGCATAGATTAAGCATTGCAAGAATAAGAGGTCAGGGCTATGATGGAGCAAGTAATATGCGAGGTGAGTTCAATGGTCTTAAGACTTTGATTATGAATGAGAACCCAAGTGCTTTTTATGTTCATTGTTTCGCTCATCAATTACAACTAGCACTTGTGGGTGTTGCAAAGGAAAATGAAGAAGTTGGAGATTTTTTTTACACTGTCTCGCAATTGTGCAATATTGTTTGTGCTTCATGTAAGCACATGGATAGCTTGCGAGACAAACAATTAAAGATGTTGATTGATTCAATTTCTGATGATACAATTGAAACGGGAACTGGTTTGAATCAAGAAACAGTTTTAAAGCGTCCTGGTGATACACGTTGGGGATCCCATTACGGTGCACTAATGAGCATTATCACATTATTTTCTCCAGTGATTGATGTTCTTGATGAAATAAGGCAGGATCCAAAACAAAGGACAGAAGCATTTAGAGTATTGAAGAATATCTTATGTTTTGATTTTGTGTTCTTGTTGCATTTAATGAGGGATGTTTTAGGAATTACCAATGATTTGTCACAGGCACTACAAAAGAAAGATCAAAACATTGTGAATGCCATGAGACTTGTTGATGTCTCAAAAAAAAGATTGCAAATGATGAGAGATGATGGGTGGGAAGCTCTTTTACAACAGGTTTCACTGTTTTGTAACAAGCATTCAATTCCCATACCTAATTTGGATGAAGTTTATGTAGTTCCAGGAAGACCTCGCCGTAACGCTGAAGAAAGGACTCATCTTCATAGGTACCGTGTTGAAAGGTTTTATGCTGTTTTAGATCTACAACTCCAGGAGCTAAACAACCGTTTCAATGAGAAGAATACAGAGTTGCTCTTATGCGTGGCATGTTTTGATCCAAAGAATTCATTTGCTAGGTTTGATAAGGATAAATTAGTTCGATTGGCACAGTTTTATCCAAATGATTTTTCTGATATTGAACTTCAATTACTAGATAACCAACTACAGACTTATTTTGTTGATGTAACTTCTGATCCTGCTTTCTCTAAATTGGATTGTATTGATGACTTGGCTAAAAAATGGTGGAAACGGGAAGACATTTGGACTATACGATGGTGTATTTGCTTCTAAAGTTGGCTTTGATCCTACCGGTTGCAACTGCTAGTGTGGAAAGAGCATTTTCTGCTATGAAGTTAATCAAGACATCTTTACGCAACCGAATGGGCGATGATTTATTAAATGACTGCTTAGTGCCGTATGTTGAAAAGGATATTTTTGATCAAGTTTCAAATGAAGCAGTTCTACAACGATTTCAAAATATGAGAGAGCGTAGAGGAGTATTATCACGTAGTTCATCATAAACCTTGTATTGTAATTTATAATGTATTTTGTATTTTAACAATCTTATTCGTATTTGAACCTTGTATTTGAATATTTTTGAATTTATTTTCTTCTTATTTCTTCGCCCCCACTGAACAAAAATCCTGGCTCCGCCATTGAACCCCTTTGAATCTCCGTTACCTGTACTCCACGTACCGGTTGCCAAACAGACGCCAGAACCTGCCTCATAAAGTCCAGTTTTATCATCTTCTGCGTCAAAAACTGCCCGACAATCCTCCAAGTCTCCTCCTCCTCCTCCCCATCACCCTCTACCGCCGCCTCTCCACCCTCCGGCATAAACACCGCCCCCTCCTCCTCCATCAACGCAATCTCCGCCCATCTATCCGTCAACTCCACCACACCCCCCACTACCCCTTGCTGCCGTGTAGACCCCCCATCCCCCCTCCCATGCTGCCCCGTACCCGTACTGCCTCTAATCCCTCCTCTACCCATACTGCCTCCATCTAAACCTCCCACGCCATCCCCATGCAAACCGCCTAGGCCACCTGCCAACACAACTCCCCCACGCCTGCCACGTTCCCCCCTTCCTCCACTTTCCTGTACTGCTTCTATCGGCTGGAATCTCTCATTCGCACCATACTCCCTAATCCCTCCTCTACCCATACTGCCTCCATCTAAACCTCCCACACCATCCCCATGCAAACCGCCTAGGCCACCTGCCAACACAACTCCCCCACGCCTGCCACGTTCCCCCCTTCCTCCACTTTCTCGTATTGCTTCTGTCGGCTGGAATCTCTCATTCGCACCATACTCCCTCCGTACTTGCCCCCAACCAACAGTTCGCCGAGCGTCTTGCGTTCCTTCCATCGTCCGGCGGAAATCAACACCTTCCGATAATTCCCTATCTCGCGTTTCCTCCATCTCAGCCAGCCCCTCGTCACGTCGGTTAACCTCGCCATCCATAACAACATCATCGGCCATCTTTCAGGGAAGATTAGAACAAAATTTGTCTGAAAACCTAGGAAAATCCTAGTAGGTCTGCAAAAACCCTAGAGAGAATCTAGGGAGAGAATAATAGAGTTTTTTCAATTGATGAATTTGAATTGATTGATAATTAAAGACTTGACTATTGATGAATATAATGCCACTAAATTCAATGTTCACTTTTTATTGAGGGTTATTTCTATATTTAAAAGGGAATTGAAGATCCAATCTGTAACATTTACCCAAAATCACAAATTTATGGTATTTGACCACAAAACTATTTCAATATATCTTACTCCCTTACCATCCATTCCAATATGACATGTCCTGGGATAATTGTGAATAGAACAATTCATCAATCCGTGGATAGTACATACTCAATTTATGACAATAAATGGGACAATTACGGAGTAAAAAATGACACGGCACAACTTTATTTCTTTATATAATCATTTTTGAGATGTTGGGTGCTCGATTTGACTCTTAAACTCTCTACCGTTCACTGTCAAATTCAACAATCCTCCAACCAATAGGTGTTAGACTTGACCTTTTACCGGCCTCCGTCCAATAGAATGTTTACAGCTCCATTGATCATGGATAAAATTCAGAACATTTGTCTCAGTTGTTTTAGTCACAACATGACTCATGAGCGATTAAAAATGCATTTTTTTTTCCTAAAATAACTTTTAGTCCCATAATTAAGTAAAATGTAGTCCTAGGAAAGAACGAGGAGACGTTGAGGCCACCTGAGTTAATAACTACAATAACAAGAACAATCCTTGACTTTTGGAGCTAGCAGTAGTTCAACTGCTCTTCCTAGGTTGTTTCCATGACTTTATTTGTCTGTTTAAGGTTTCAACCTTTCCTTGCACTTGTTGTATATAAACCCCTCAAAAACCATGCAAAAAACATTACATCAACAAACAAAAAAAAAACAGACAGACAGACATCTCAAGAATCAATAAGAAGATCAGAGCAGTATAGTAAGAAAGATCAGACAATGGCAAGTGAAGCAGCAAAACTGATGCTTCATTGTGTGTTTGCAGCAAGCATACCATTGTCTGACACGGAGATCGAACGCAGGCCTTACCACCGCAACTGTGGCTGTGCATTGCACACCTTGAAGTCGTCGCTACGAACAGATATATGCTCCCATCATCGCACCATTTCCTTCCCAAAGAAACAAATCAAAACTGATAAGATAATAATGCATTATCTGTAGGCAAGCTCTCTTTGTCTGCAACTTCCCCATTGTCAGGATTAAGCGCTTAGTAGCAAAGGGAGTCAGTATCACGTTTCAATGGCAGGATGCTCATTCTCGTTCTTTCTACAACAGCTAGCTAGTTTGAAGTTGTATCAAGCAGTAGATGGCCGGCATTAGGATAATGAAGGCAGAAGAGAGTGACATTATTATTTCTAGGTTTAATTTAATGATATGATCATGTACATTGTTCTGTCAAGTCTCTGTAGGCATGCATTATGCACTACTCATTATTCATTTGTATACCTATCACTGCAAGTAAGTGTGAAGGAAATACAGTACAGTTTCAGAGAATGTTAGTTTCTCTTCTCCAAAATTTATGTTTGTTTCATGTTTTTAAGAATGAATCTTGAGAAAGCAGCACAGGGGGGAACAACAAGGTCAAAGAATAACCATATGATGTGATGTTCATAGATAGTGAAATATAAGAATGTAGTGATGTTCTTGACATTATCACAAGTGAAAATAGACTGACTACTAGAGGACAACAATATTAATTTGTCTGCAAGCCAAGTTGCAACACCATTAACAAAGGAGATATATATTATTATTAGTTATTGAGGGTGTTTGGTAAATAGCTGTTAGATGATCGGGTTAGTGGGTTCGAGTCATTGATAGTATTAGCTGATTGTAGAAAAGTGTTTGGTAAATTAAATGTTAGTTGATAACTGATTACATGCAAAATGACTTCCTCAAAAAGCTTATCGAAAAAATTGATTTAAGCATCTGTTTGAATTTTAGCATTTTGGAACAATAAGGTGTTACAAAAAAGCTAATTAATCAAATATTCATATTAATTATTTAACCAAATCAGATAGCTAATAGTGGTCAAATAAAGTAAAATTTGTTGATAAGCTAACTATGTTACTAAACAGGGTCATTAACTCATCATCGAGTATCTAACTGCAATAACAAGAATCTACATAGTAGAAACGTTGAAGTGCAGGCCAGGATTGAGTAATTAAGGTGATGAGAAATTCTTCTTTTAAAGGCTTTAACCATAACTGATAACTCCATTCTTATTAACCATTATTAAGTAGTCTTTATTCTTTCTGTCATTGATTTTCCATTCCATAAGATCTATGTAGAAAGCCTGTGTTACAACAAAGTAGACAATTTGAACATAAAAGTTTGAGACATTTGATAAGCGGACAAGCCTTCTATTAGTGAGAGCCAAATCTAAGTTAGTCTGACAATGGTAGGAATATCGGGTTTTATATGCAAAGTAAACAACTAAAAAAAGGGGAATACCGGGACTAAAAGACAACTAATAAAAGGGAATACTGCCATCGAGCTTAGCATAGTGATTCGTTGCCTGACTTGATATTACGACTGAAGGCGGCAGTGTGGGGGTTCGAATCAATTGGAACCCTGAATACGAAAAAGTCGAGGATGATAGAAGGTGTGGATTATTAGATTCCTTGTGCGTCATGAAGACTAGAATTTGACTAGTGGGTTGATTGCTAGACTTGTTATATACAGGCTTAGAATTAATTCAGTCAGACCGGAATCACCTAAGTATTAAAAAAAAATAAGGAATACTTAGCTTATTAATTTCCCTTATCAACTTAGAAAAAAAAAATCTAGAAACTCTTTCCCTCCATTATAAGAGAATACCTAGCTTATTAATTTCCCTTATCGGTTTAGAAAAAAACAAAAAAAAAAAAAAAAAAAAAGAAACTCTTTCCCTCCACTATCTTGTCGGATCGGAATTTAGGGACTTTGGGCAAGTCTTGAAACTCTTTAACATAGTTTTAAAAAGAATTTTTTTCCAAAATGGTCCCTTGACTATCATTCGTTCTCAATTTTGCAATTCAACTTTCAATTGCACCCAATGTGGTCCCTTGATTTTTAAAAATTATCCCAAATTGGTCATCCGTTAGATTTTTCGTCAACTGAGCGTTAATGTAGGGGTATCTCAGTCAACTCAACCCAATATTAATGTTATTGTTGATTTTTCCCAAATTTTTTTGTACGCAGTCTCTGTGATGCTGGCTCTCAAAAAGAACTTGAACCCACCATCAGCGCTGGGGTGATCCGACTCGGATCCATGCAACCGGAGGGTTCCATCCGCGTCGCCACTGAAGTAATCCAACCGACATCGACGGTCAGCTCGCTGGAAAAACCGAAGATCGCCAGCATGCACCACAGTCTCACCAACTACATCCACCGCCACAACTATCGTGACCTCCACCTCCATCACTGCTATCTTCAAAAGAGACTTCAGAACAGACAAAATTGATGAAATTATAAAGAAGCTAAGATAGAAAAGACACTAGAACAGGTAAAATTGATGAAATTATAAAGAAGCTCAGAAAGAAAAGACATCAAATTGATGAAATTATAATGAAGCTCAGAAAGAAAAAACATCAAATTGATGAAATTATAATGAAGCTCAGAAAGAAAAGACATAAACAAGCAAAATTGATGAAATTATAAAGAAGCTCAGAAAGAAAAGACATAAACAGGCAAAATTGATGAAATTATAAAGAAGCTCAGAAAGAATGGCGAGCAACCAACGCAGCCACCACGCTACCCTCCGTCTCGGCTTCCATCTCCCTCCCTCGCTTGGCAATCCGACTACCAACGACGACTTGGACAGGGGGCCGGCAACCTTTTCTCTCTCTCTTGGTAACTTCCAGTAGTAGACGAAGGCGATGATGGCGAGAAACCGCATCCCTCCTCTCTGGTTTCCTTCTCCGGCGAGTTGTCGTGGTTGGTCGACCACCTTCGTTTTCCGCCATCAACATCAATTTTATGTTCTTCATCCAAGTCCAGTGTGAGTTTATATATATTTATTATACATAATGCACCAGCTTAGAGCCCCAGATGCACATTTAAATAGTCTAGAATTCGTAATTATCAATAGTGCAAAGGTAAGCTGAAAATGAAAATTTTTCTTCCCTAAAATTTCATTCGGACCTTACATAAAAATTCCAATCGTGACTGGGTCTGAGATTTCTGAGAGGGTTCGAAGCAGCAGCGGTCATGGCAGTCACGGCGGGGGAGAAGAGAGGTAATGGTTTTCAAAAAAGAGAGAGGTAAGGTCAATTGGCTGAATAAGTAGCTCACATTCGTTTCTGGAATGCTGGGTTGAAAGAACATTTGAAATATGCACGAGTGTTGTGAATGGACGAAAATACCCCCACATTTAACGTCAAGTTGATGCAAAATCTAACGGAGGACCAATTTGGGGTAGTTTTTAAAAAACAATGAAAGTCAGAATGCAAAATTGAGAATGAGCGATAGTCGAGGGACCATTTTGGGAAAAAACTCTTTTAAAAATATACTAGAGAATTTTTAAATTAAATCTCAATTTTTTTTTTTTTAAAAATAGATATTGAAAAAAGTTTATCATATCACATATGAAAAAACCTGATAGTTTTATTTTTTGTCGGGGACTGGGCCCAGGGAATTATAGCCAAGTCGCAAACTAAAGAGATCAGATAACGTTAAGGATTGAACACTAATTCACGTGCTGAAGGAGAAGGCTTAGACCACCAGACTAAGAACGTTCTCGTGTTCTATTCAATGTCCTCAACAGACCATCCATCCCCTTTCATATAGCCATCCCACACACACCATCCATGTGTACGTCATCCGGGTGCTACGCCGCACGACCAAGACGCGGCCTGGTGCACTCAGCACGCGCCGGCCGATGGTACCTGTTGTGTGCAGTAACGGCATAAAGGCGGAACGCGAGCACCCCGTCACGCAAGGAGCACTCGACAAACCCCGGTGTGTCGTGACGGGCGGAGGCGGAACGTGCCACGCAAGGCGCACTCAACAAACCCCCGTGTGCCGTGACAGGTAGAGGCGGAACGCGAGTACCCCGCCACGCAAGGCGCGCTCAACAAATCCGCCTCTACCTGTCAGGTGGAACGCGAGTACCCCGCCGCGCAAGGCACGCTCAACAAATCCGCCTCTACCTGTCACGCAAGGCGCACTCAACAAACCCGGGACACCTCAGCCGCCAGAAACCGATGTACCATTTAGCGCCACCCGACCAGTAGCCCGTGGCAACATCCATGGCGGGCACCCCTACTACACCTCAGCCGCCAGAAACCGATGTACCATTTAGCGCCACCCGACCAGTAGCCCGTGGCAACATCCATGGCGGGCACCCCTACTACACCTCAGCCACCAGAAACCGATGTACCATTTAGCGCCACCCGACCAGTAGCCCGGCAACATCCATGGCGGGCACCCCTACTGGACCTCCTCAGCATAGACGGAGGGGCACCCCTCCTGGACCTCCTCAGCATAAACGGAGCCAAAGCGGGGCAGCTGCCCCCCCCCCCCCCCACCACACCCCACCACATATATAATCTTGGTATGTATATATGTATATATAATACATGTTTTAGTATTAGTATAAAAAAAACTATTAAATATTAATAAGAAATGAGTTAGATTAGTTGGCAGAGTTAATCGATGTGTTTTATTTTTCGCCCATAACAAATATATTTCTTAGGTAATTTTATTTTAAAATTATCTCTTTTGTTTTAATGTTCTTCGCCCCCCTCAACTAAATTTATGGTTCCGTCCCTGCTCCTTCCGAAGGTGCCCAATATCAAGTGAACCCAATTACAATCTCAAAATCCCCATCAAAACCCAATTAATTAAAATTTAATGTAACCATTGAATGCAAACCAAATTGTACAAACTTCATTCATATCACGTAGAAAATTTGTGACATTCATTTATGAATTCCTTGAATCAAATTATAATTCGTGACAATAATAATTACACCCAAAAATATCCGAGCCGAAATGACAAATCTGCCCTCGTCACAGTCCCGCTTTCATTTGTTGACCGACAGCGGGGACAGCATACCTAGACGAGAAATTACGGAAAAGCCCATTGCCTTGCTCCTCCTCCGCCGCCGCCGCCGCCGCCGTGCCGTTATCGAAGTTCAGCGCATAGCTCTGCGCGTCGTAAATAAACTGAGCCTTATAACCGCCCTTCAACTTAGGGTTGCAATATCTCCCCATCTTCCTCAACAAATTCTTCCACCTCGGCCCCGCCACCACCTCCGACAACTCCCTCACCTTCTTCGCCTTTCCCCGCCACCACACAGCGGCACTCTCGCCGCCGATCAATGCTCTGGTGTTTCCCTCGCCGGAGCGGAAAGAGAGCAGCCTGAAACAGCCGCACCCGGTCGGAGATCCCGCCTCTTCTTCGTCTACTATCGGTGAGTTAGCGATCATGAACGCTTGGCTTTCTTGATTACCAGACATATTCTACCCTGCTTGTGTATATACAAAATATAAATACAAATACAACTGTGAATGTATAGATTTTCGCCGGGGGTGGGTGGGGTGATGAATAGGACGATGAAATCTTATCTGCGATGATGAGATGAAAGGGGTTTATATACGTAGGTGTTACCGTGTGGGTTTTGTGTGTATAATTTCGGGTTGGAATAGGATTGATAACAAAGTTGTGTACTGTACAAGGATGTCTGATGTGTCTATTTGACTTTGAATAAAATACTCAACACTAAGAAAAGTGAACTAAAAATATCTCATATTCTCAATATACTACACCAAATAATTTTTTTTTTTTTTATACTACACCAAGTAATTAAAAATAGATATAAATATCCGAAAAATTGGTAATAGAATAGAAGGAGAATACCTCTCGTATTAGGTCACGAATTTAATTATTATTAACATCTCTCAGCTGAGTTCATCACATATACAACGTTATATATGATATTATTATTTTTTATTTTTTAATCATTAATTACACAACGTCAATTTTTTTTATAAAATCGACGTTGTATATTAAGGAATTTAAATTTTTGTTGGAAATGAATTAAAATTTTTAAAATTAGTAAATATATGATGTTATGTCAAGGACCTTATGGTCTGATGACACCAAGTTGCTCTCCTATATGAGAGGTTATGTGCTTAGATTGCCCTCTTTGTGCTTAGATTGAATATTGCATTCTAACAGAGTTAGTACTTAATAGTACTCAAAAAAATATATATGATGTCAGTTTTATATGTAATGTTTTTTTTTTTAATAATTAAACGTCGTCATTTTAATATTTTAAAAATAATATAATCTTTTATATATCTAGTATTTTTTGTTTGAAGGGTATCTTTTATATCTAGTATAATTATGTATACTATTTAAATTGTATAAATATTGACAACCATTGTTTTACATCACAATATTTTATACAATTAGACATATTATGCGTATTTGTATTTAGTCTAATTATATTTTAACTGGTTTAATCTCTCTGGATTGATAAAATTTATTTGTTAATCATTGATGCTACAATTAAATATACTTAGAATGGAATAATAATATTCAAGAATCAAGAATGAATTACATATATACAGCCAACATGTTAAGCAAGAACACAAGAGTAGGAAGCAGTTGGATAGTAGGGGTTGCAATTAGTTGGAACTGAAAATTGGTATCGTTGACCGGACAACGATGTTTGACTTTGGTGTTGCAATTTGCAAACGGCAAACGTGGGTTGTCAGAGTAAAACGTGGGGCCGAGGAGGAAACTGGGGAGTGTTTGCAGATCTGAGGTTTGATGCACACGTCGGCAGCGCGTAAGAGGATATCAGCATTCGTGGCCCTGTACCTGTGGATAAGAACACAGCTTTTGGGTTTTGCCATGTTGAGTGTGGCAAATTATTCGGTATACTCGGATTATCTTGTAAGATAAATTTGAATTTAAAAATGTATAATTTACATATTGAATGTTGTAAATATTTATAATTTTATATGTTAAATATTTACAATTTACATACTGAATGTTCACAATTTTATATATTAAATGTTCACAATTTAAATTGTGAATATTCAATATGTAAATTGTGAATATTCAATATGTAAATTGTGAATATTCAGTATATGAATTGTGTATTTTGACCAATGTCCACCTAGAGGTGACCGCGGTTCTGTTCTGCAAATGGCCAAATCGGAACCGGAACGTTATAGTAAGGTTCCGGTTCTAACCGGATTTAAAATAAAAAAAAAAAATAAAAAGAAGAAGAAGAAGAAGAAAAGGTATAATTTTTAATTTTTTTCCGGTTTGGAATCGGAACCGTCGGTTCCGATTCCTTTTCATCTCTAACCTTAATCGAAACTGACAGGATAATGGCAATGCAATGCCTCAGGTGACCTCAGGGACCAACTCACCAACAATCGCGGAGGGGACCTCCGAGAACAGTTCAACAACAGGAGGCCCGGGGACACTCGAGACCAACTCAACAATGGAGGGGACCTTCGAGACCAACTCAACAATGGAGGGGACCTTCGAGACCAACTCAACAATGGAGGGGCGAACCAAGTTGTGAACCTCCAGGTGACCATTCAGCAAGCAGTGACGGTGGCGCTAAATCAGGTGGCGGTGGGACTGCAAGGCCAAGTGGCCTCGCAGCGGCCTCAGGAAATAGAGGTAGAATCCCCGCGAAGGGTAGATGCCTAGGACGCAGCCCGTGCAGCGAGGGATGCAGGGCGTCGTACCAGGACAGGGGGTCCAGGGGAGGGCGCCCAAAGAAGTGGACCGGCCAGACGGCAACCTGGACCCTCCCGCTCTGCCCTAGAACGGTTGGGACACGGGGCGCCCGCTCGGCAAAGGCCAGAGTCACTGGCCGAGGGGTCCTCCGCTAGAGGCCTTCGCCGGCACGAAGAAAGAGAAGCAGAAAGGTCAATCACGGAAAGGATGGGCGAGTCTCGTGGGTCGGCCCCGCGCCGGCACGGTGACGAGTCGGCCATGCGTCGACACTCGGACGAGCGACGCGTCGATGAACCGGCTCCGCGTCGGCACTCAGCGGGCGAGCGACGCGCTGATGAGCGGGTTCCACACTGACACTTGGATGGACGGAACGTCGAGGAACCAGCTCCGCATCGACACTCAGATGGACGACACGTCGATGAGCTAGCTCCACACCGAGGCGTAGAGGAGCGACAGCCGGCCCTGCGTCGGCACCCTGACGAGTCAGCCCTGGTCGAGAGGCTGCAAAGAAGAATCGAGGAGTTAGCAAGAAGGGTGGAGGCACGGGAGTAGTCGCCGGAACCCGAGGTGCGGATGGCAGCACCATTCTCCCCAAGCATCATGGACGTACCTTTGCCGAGGGACTTTAGGTTGCCTGCCATCAAGGCGTACACGGGGGCCACCGACCCACGTGTCCACATGACGAGATACAAGGCTGCTATGGTGATGATCGGGGCAGGGGACGCCATCATGTGCCGAGCATTCTTGTCTACACTGGATGGAGCGGCCCAGGACTGGTTCAACACCATCCTGGATGGGTCGATCCAAGACTTTGGGGAGTTGTCCAAGAGCTTCCTGACATACTTCTCCGTATCATACAGCGTAAGAAACCCTTCTCTCACCTCTGTGTAGTAAAGCAAGATAGAGGTGAGAGCCTCAAAGACTACCTGATCAAATGGAAAAAGGAAGTCAATAATGTCTACGACTTCGACTCCAAGGCGGCGATCCCGATATTTATCCATGCCTTAAGATCAGGGTATTTCCACAAGCAGCTGAACGCCCACCACCCCCGCTCTTACGAAGATCTGATAAGGACGGCTAGCCGCTATGCTGAAGCAGAGGACGTCGACAGGAAGAAGAAGGACGAAGAGGATGGTAGGAAAGGTGGGAAGCCTGGGAAAGCGGGTCCGCCCAGCCAGGCACCACTCTCGAACCACCCGACCGCAGGGAAAGGCTAAGACCACGAACGACCTCGCCTGGTCCCCTTGCGTAATTTAACTCCTCTTACCCATCCCGTCAGTGTCATCCTAAAGCAAGCTGAGGAGATGGGAATGGTAGAATTCCTTGAGGAGTTCATGAAGGTCTCCCCAAAGGCAGACCAAACAAAGTACTGCAGGTTTCATAAGCAAGCCGACCACGATACGGATGAGTGTCACGTTTTGAAGAGACAAATAGAAGAACTCATCCAGCAGGGCTACTTCCGACATTTCGTCAAGCGATCTAAGCAGCAGCAACAGCCGCAACACAATCCACCAAAAAATGTCTGGGGGAATGACGATGGCACCGACCCGTCCACCTCGAACGCCAAAAAAAAAGAGAACACGACCAAATAAATGAGCAGAATGATAGCGAGAAAGAAACCGAGGTGGCGCCCAGACGACAAAAGAAGCACACCATACACTTTATCTATGGTGGACCCGCAGGGGGTGACACGCCCGCGGAAAGAAAGAAGTGGAGCTGGCAGCTATACGTGGGAGAAGTGGTGAGTCTTCCCAGAGAAAAGAAACAGAGACAGGAAGCCATCACCTTCTCCAATGTTGACCTCCCAGAGGGCCCGTTACCCCATCGTGACGCCCTGGTGATTGAGATGGACGTCAACGATGTCATTGTCCACCGCATCTTAGTCGACACGGGAAGCTCAGTCAATGTGATGTATTACGATGCCTTCACCAAGTTAGGGATACCTAGGAATCAGCTCAAAGAAGTACGTACCCCACTCTCTGGATTTACAGGTGATTCAGTGGAGACGGAGGGGTCAGTGGTCTTACCAGTGGAGATAGGCACGAGCCCTAACATTCGCAAACTTGACGTGGAATTCATCGTGGTAAGATTCACTTGTGCGCACAACATCATATTGGGGAGGCCGGCACTGGAGAACCTCAAGGCCATAGTGTCGGTGGAACACTTGTGTATGAAGTTCCCTACTCCGAATGGGATAGGAGTCGTCAGAGGAGACCAGCGGGCAGCCCGCAGTTGTTAAGTAAAAGCATGCAAAAAGATTGGCAGAAAGGATCTACAAGTCCACACCATCTGCAAGGATGATCGATCGGGTATGGAACTCGAAACATTTGATTTTTCCTTAATATTCTAGTAGTCATTTGGGACTAGTGCTTGGTAATCACGGTCCGCCCGCTTTATATTATGAAATCTTTTGGAATAATATCTTGTATTCATGGTCCGCCCGTGTTGTTTATTGAAGCATAATCATCATTTACGAAGCGTCTTCGGAAAAATGGTCCGCCCATGTTGTTTATTGAAGCAAGTTCGTTTTCGGCATCCATGGAACGCCTTCAAAAAAAAATAGAGGAAAAGCGGGCAAGGCCGGCACACGCCTCGGCCGAGGCGCGCGCCTCGGCCACAGATTGGCCAAGGCGCGCCTCAGCCAGAAAGTGGCCAAGGTGCACGCCTCGGCCACAGTTCGGCCGAGGCGCACGTCTCGGCCTTCAAAAAAAAATACAATAGGTTGGAGCCCGCCTCAGCCACGATCGATCTA